ATGAAATAATGAAATTGCTCACCAATATTATAGTTGCTCTAGACGGATGACAGGATATTTCTAAAAATTCTATTTATAGCTTTATAGTATTAAAGAAGAATCAAGAATATGTATTAGACATAATTGATTTATCTGCAAACAAATATACTGTGGCTTTTCTTAAAGACTAGCTTAAAAGAGTTCTTAGATTAAATTCTATTTCAAATTCCTCCATTATTACATGTATAATGGATAATCTCTCAGTCATGATTCAGATGAAAAAAGATCTTGAAGATAATTATCCGAATATTATTCCTATTCGCTATTGTCTTCACGCTCTAAATTTACTTGCCAAAGATATTTTTACTTTCTCCTCTTTAGTTAAGGTTATTAAGAATAATCAAAAAACTCATTAACTTTTTACATCCTCCTATATCTGACTTCAAATATTTTATAAATGGCAAAAAAAAGAAGGAATAAGTCATTCACTTAACACTTTTTGTAAAACCAGATGGTACTCTCTAGCAAAAGTTTGTTTAGGTAAGAAAGCAAATTATTTGAATATGATTTTAAAAATATTGCAATATAATTAATTGAAGCATATCTAAAAAAAGATATTAAAATAATAAGTGCTAATGTTTTATAAATTATTAATTATTATTATTATTATTATTATTATATTTATTTTTTTTGCTATTTCAACATCTAGGAGTAAAAGTTTTGAAAGAGGATTTTATTAATATATTGAACTTAGTGGAACTAGTAATTATCTAGCAATTAAAATAGAAATTCAAGACATAGTTACTAATCAGCACCATTTTGCAGACAATAATATCTTGATAAAAGTGCTTATTCCTATCATAGACGCTATTGATCGTCTTGAATCTAAAGATGCAATATTAGCTAATATTTTCAAGGAACTAGTAAGTATTTATTACACTATTTCAGTAGCAAGTATCCTAATTGATGGGTTAAAAATCATGCTCTAGCTACTATTGATAAGTGAATGTGAGTTCTCCAATAGTATTTATTTTGTTGTATTTTTTTTTGTTTTCAAAGTATAAACAAGTTGCAATATCAAAGCAAATAACAGAAGATTCAGTTATCAGAGCATCTCTGGAATTGGCGAAAGTTTGAGGGTTCAATAAAAAGGAAACAACTTTACTATTCAAAGAACTTATTAGTTACAAAAATGGTGATGCTCCTTTTGATAATCTGTGGAATGCTGAAGATATTAGTCCTAGAATTTTTTGGTCACAGTTTACCAGAAGTTCTCTATTTCTTTGACGGTTTGCTATGAAGATCTTTGCAATTGCTTTACACAAAGCAGCCGTTGAACGTTTGTTTTCTAGCTTAGGGCTAGTAAAGACAAAATTAAGAAATAAAATATTATCTAGTGTAATAGGAATGCTTGGAATGCTTCACCATGACATTTATCAAAAGTTATCTAAAATAGTTAAAAAAAAATCTAAAGAAAAAAATCAAAATTTGGTAAAAAAACTCTATAAATAATAATACTAAATATACTGATATTGATTACTTCTTTGAAGAAGAATTTGATAAACTTCTACAAATTAATGTTGAAGAGGTAAGTATGGATATGAATAATGAATCAGTGGTAGAAAATTTTTTCATTATCAAAACTTTTGAATGGAGTCAAGAATTAAGTGAAGAAAGCTTGAATACTTTTTCTCAAAGGCATATCACCAGTGCCGCTGAAGATTGGTCAAATGATGATATTTTCTTTTTACCTAACTACCCTACACTAGAATAAAGTTGCCAAGAAATATAAGCTTTTTTTATTTCAAACAATATGTACAACCCTAACAAAAATTCTAATAAATATAAAATATCTTTGTCAAGACAGTGTATAAATAAAAATGAAACTAAAAATTCAAACCTATGAAAAACTTAAATATGTTCGTAATTAAAAAATAAAAGAAATTATGAACTTAAAAATTTTTTAAATCAAATAAAGTAAATTGTCAAGTTTTGCCTTTAATAAATTGCATCAATACGTAATACTTTAATAAATAAAATTCATGTACTACATGATACCAGATATGTAATACTTTAATAAAACTTATGTACTACTAAAATTCTAATCCGATTGTACTAAAACTGGTTTAATAGTTTAACAAAAATTGACTTTAAACTCTACCCAAACCAGTTAATTTATTGTATATAATTTAAGTGACAGACATGCCTAATACTAATTTGGGCTTTAAGCATGCCACAGTTGGCATGCTATAGTGGCAAGCCAATGACTACAATGCCAGATACCCTACTTATCTGTGATTATATATACCAACGAAATTATTTTGGGGTCTAAAACCCGAAATTAAAATTTGAAGGCAAAATTGTTTTTGATCTATTTTACTTAAAAGATAAAATTTTTTACAACTTTTTTTGAATAGATAAAATTATAAGGAGTATAAATATATAAATTTTATTTGCTTTTTTTTATAAAAAATTTTTAATTTGCTCTAATGGAGATGAAATAGGCCTTTTTTGAAAATCAATTTCAGTGACATCTATACCTGTAATCAATTACAAATTAAATTATTTATGTTGGTGATAGATAATCTCTTACTAGTTTTAATATATATATAATATTAATAGTCACTACTGTTATATGCATACTGTATCTCTAAACAGAAATACAGAAAAGCAATACTTACTAAGCAGCTTCATTATAAAATAATTTAAAAATTTTTTAAAAGGCCTATTATTTTGAAAAATTTCCAAATACTTAAATATTAGCATATTTTCAATAAGTTGGGTTCTTAAGCAGCTTCAAAGATATAAATGTGTTAAAACACTTTAGTCACTTTTAGAAAAACCATGTTACTAAACATTATGATGTAAACATATTAAACCTTTTAATATCAATAGAAAACCTAACTAGTATTTGTAAAAATTACAATCCGAGATAGAATTTTGTAGCCTATACATCGACTTGAAGTTAAAAAGTAATATTCTGTTATTTATATATTGTATAAATTTTTTACTTTAATTTTTTTTTTACTTTGATTTTGTTTATCATAATTCTTTATGTTTTCATATATTCTTAACAAACATAGTAAAAATTTAATTTTTTAGAATCTTAATCTGAAATTCAATTTTAAATTAGTTGACAAATTTATAGTCATATTTAATTTTTTTAATATTGATACTATGATACATTTTTGTATATATTTGTTATAAATGCCTATTTTATATTCAATACTTCTTGCTAATATTTATTGATTAACAAGTGCAGGTTTATTCATAAATTATCATGCAAACTAAACACACTAAACATGTTGGACAAGATTTAACAAAAAAATTAATAATGTTTATATTATCATTATAATAACCAGTATTATAATAAAATGCAGTATACAATAAACATGTATGAAAATAAGGTAAAGTAAATAATCAATTGTTATCTTGTGCATATTATGCATATAACAAGTGATTATTAGAAATTAAGAGTGATCAATTATGCAATCGAAATAGTATATATAAAATAAGAAGTAATATAAAAGTTAAATGATTATATTATTGTATATAAGCAAATTATAATGTAAGTAATGTGACCCAAAGTATATATATAGCCGAAGTGTTTAAAATAATAGTTTTGGTAAGTTAGTTTGTATAAGTTTTGCTTTTAGATAAATTTAACTTTTAATAAATAAAGTAATATATAAAGTACAAAACACTAGTCTTTTAAGTTCAGTTTACTTAGTGTCTACTATTAGAGTTAGGTTATTTTTTGACGAAAGTCATTAATTAACCTGTGATATGAAAACCTGGGCAAATTACCGGCCTATCTTGCAATGAGCTAGTATCAAGGGTCCACAAAATGAACCTGATATTGATTTACATAAATGTAGAGAAAGAGAAAAATATATGTATTAAAAATATAGATAAATGTGATGGATTAATACAACAAAGAGTGGATAGTAACAAAGATAAAGAGATAGCTGAAAGAGATGAAGATATAAGTGTGATAATTAGCAAAAATGTTAGTAACAATGAAAGCAAAGTATCCAAAGAGAATTTGAAACCTGCTACACCAAATCATAATATAAGTTTAATCAAAATATTTTAAGATAATATCAAGAGTGACAATTCTAATCAAGCTAGATTAGAGAAGAAAAATTTTAAAGAAAACAATATTGAAAGTAATGAATCAATTGGTAAAGTGGATGATCGAGGATTGGATGACTTGGAAGCTAAAGTTGACCAGTTGTTGTCAGATATGAAGAATAGTGATGGTAAATCTGCAGATATCTGATATAATAATAGAACATATGATATTAGTTATTGTAATCAGAAAAAAATAATCAGTAATGAGAAGGATGAATACAAGAAATTTGTCTTTGTCAAAAAAATAAGATGAATAGTAATGAAATAGAATTCATCAAAGAAACAAAAGTTGATAATTTAATAAATTTTAATCAATTTAATCAAATAAATGAAGGGAACCCAAAACATTTTTGATGTGTTTATTGAAAAAAATTCTATTGACTTTGATTGTGTTACAAAAGAGTTAGTGATGAATGATAATGGTAAAAAAGTAAATAATGCTGAAATTGAAAGAGTAGATGAGATTGTAAATTGTTGCCAGAATGGAGCAATTGATGTGCTATTGGATATAGTTCTAGAAAGAGAAGAGATAGTGAAATATCTGTTAGAAGTGTTGAGTGATGATGACTCTGATGAATTTAATTGTAGTATGAACTTGTTTAAATGACATTGGCATGTGAACTTTAAAGGTCTTAACTATGGGAATAAAGAAGATGATTCAGTAATAAAGATCAAGAATAAAATTAAAGTTGCAAAAGTTGAGTTTGCTAGTCACGAAAGGACTATAGTAGATATTGATAGGACAAACATTGCTAAAAATAGTAATTTACATGAGTAACTAAACTTTGAAAATAATGATCAGAGAACGAAAAGCATGTTCGATCATGGAAAGCTGTCATTGGAGAAAAATTATAATAACGATGAGTTGGGTGATATTAATAATGTTCTTAGAAAAATTATGTTAAATAAGTTGGAAACTTCAGAACAAAGTTCTGGGAATCTAGCTCATATCATAATGAAATACAGTATATAATAAACATGTATAAAAATAAAATAAAGTAAATAATCAATCTTTATCTTGTATACATAATACACATAACAAGTAATCGATCAGAAATTAAGAAATTGAGTAATGATCAATTATGCAATCGAAGTAGTATGTATGAAATATAAGGTAATTTATTAGTAATATAAAAGTCAAATGTTCATATGATCATACATGAGCAAATTATAATATAAGTAATGTGATCCAAAGTATGTATATAGCCAAAGAATTTAAAATAATAGTCTTGGTAAGTTAGTTTGTATTAGTTTTGCTCTTAGATAAATTAAATTTTTAATAAATAAAGTAATACATAAAGTACAAAACACTTGCCTTTTGAGTTTGGTTTACTTAGTGCCTAATTTTAGTGTTTACTATCAGGGTTAAGTTATTCTTTGATGAAAGTTATTAATTAATAGATAGTATTTAGATATACTACTGGTAGTATTTTGTATTCAGTTGTGATACTACTTAAAGCTAATTAATTATCTACAAATTTAACAAATTAATAAGCTACTAAATCTTTATATAAAGTATTTTTAGATAGGAGCTACACATATAAAAAATTTGATAACTCTAAGTTCTTTTTTGAATTTTTTAAAATTTGGCTTTTTTTAGTCTTTTTATTAATAAATTTTACTAGTAAATTTTATATTAAAAACTAAATTTAATTTTTTAAAATTTTAAACTTATATTATTTTTATTATATTAATTTAATTGCCAATCCAGATAAGATTGGCAATATTTCTATATTTAGAATTGGGGCAAAACAAATAGATAAACAATATAGTACAAAATCTGGAGTTGGCAAGTATATATAAAATTTTTATATGATTTAAAGAATTTTAAAGATATTTTTACTCATATATTTTTATCTACAAGTCCACTTTAATGAAACTTTACTAGTAGGTGTATAAGAATCTGCTTTACAACTTTACTTAAAGCCAAAAATAAATATTTACTTAGTATGAAAAAAACTTTTCATTGTGCTAACAACAGATTTACTAATATATATTTTCTATATGATTTAAAGAATTTTAAAGATATTTTTAATCATATCTTCTTATCTACAAGTCTAATTTTATTAAAATTTTACTAGTAGATGCGCAAGAACCTGCTCTATGACTTTACTTAAAACTAAAAATAAAAAACTTTTTATTGTGTCTAAAACAGATTTATTTATATACTGTATTTGTTTATCTCCAATTCCAAATATAGTAATAATATAGATATTGTGCTGATCTTATCTGGATTGCCAATTAATCTTAATTTATTTTATTTTTTTAATTTTAGCTAGTTTTGCCAGTACTTTATTAAGATTCTAAGTATATTACTAAATTATATACTTGTTTATTTCTAATTTGCAAGCCCGGCTATCTAAATGGTGCCCAAGTGCAACCTGCCACACTAATTTGAAGATTATTTTAAAAACTAAAGGCTGTGTTAAATCAGCCTAAGTGCTACACCAAAATGGCTTTCCACTAACTCTAATTTTATTTTATATTATCTTTTCTACCAAAGCATCTATTCTTCTATTTGTAGTTTTTCTTTTATCTTTAACTTTCTGTAATATGGCTTTTTTAGAATTAGGCGGTTTTTTACTCTTCTGATAAGAATTTTTCTGTGCTTCTATCTTTTTTTTTTATTAATCTTCTTTTTATCCTGTACTTTGGTTCTTTTTCCTAATTTCTGCTGCTTAAAGATGCCTTTTTCTTGTTCTACTCTATTATCTTTTCACATCTCAATTGTCATACAATTTTGTAAAAGCCATTTCACAAGATATATATTGCTGCATCTAAGGCTAGATCTGCTTCTCTTTTTGTTAAGCCTTGGTTGATAAGTTTTTCTATAACTGTGCTTTTAAATAGACTCTAAGTGTAGCCTTCTCTTCATTCTTTTTGCTTTTTGTAAATTTTACCAAATAGACATTTCTGGAGTTCGCTTGTTTATAATTTCCCCCTTCTTTTAGATTCGTTTATGAGGGCTTGTACTATTTCGATTGCTGCTTGTTCAATTTTATGCCAATGGGTTTGCTATACTCTGCAGTATGCTAAATGATCTTGTATTTCTTCTACATTATCTTTATACAACTTGTAGCTACTCTTTTCATATAGGTTTGGCCTTCTTTTAATATAGTTACTTAGTACTGAGAGCTGATTTATCAGCAAATTTAATTGGCCATAATATTATATAATAAATTGCGACCTGTAAAAAAGGCGTAATATAATGTAAGATATTTCAAAAACTTGCGAAATATTAAATTACAAAATATTATATAAGATATTATGCAATATTACGTAAAATATTTCGAAATAAACAGCATAATATTATGACAAATTTACAAATAGTAAATTAAATTGCATTAAATCGCATTAGATCGCAACTAACTAAAGATAATTAAAATAAGTAAATTTATTAAATATAGCTAAATATATATTAGAATATTTTAATATAAAATAAATAAAATATTTTGAAAAAAAGCAAATAGAAGCAATACTTATTAATAAATTTGTAACTTTTGATAATAAATAATATTCAGTATATTATTTCAGTTATAATGGTAATTAAATCATCAAAATTGGTTCAATATTCATCAAGATAGCTTAATCAAAATTTATATATAATATTTCAAATATTTTGACATAAAATAAATCAAACTATTATAAAAAAAAGCGAATAGGTATGAAATTTATTTAAAAAAAATTGTAACTTTTGATAATAAATAATATTCAGTATGTTATTCCAGTCATAATGGTAGTTAAATCATCAAAATCAGTTTAATATTCGCCAAGATAGCTTAATCAAAATTTATATATAATATTTCGAATATTTTGATATAAAATAAATCAAACTATTGTAAAAAAAAGCGAATAGGTGCGAAATTTATCTAAAAAAATTGTAACTTTTAATAATAAATAATATTTAGCATGTAATTCTAGTCTTAATGGTAGTTAAATCATCAAAATCAGTTTAATATTTGCCGAGATAGCTTAATCAAAATTTATATATAATATTTCAAATATTTCAATATAAAATAAATCAAACTATTGTAAAAAAAAGTGAATAGGTTGAAATTTATCTAAAAAAAATTGTAACTTTTGATAATAAATAATATTCAGTATTTTATTTCTGTCATAATAGTAGTTAAATAATTAAAATCAGTTTAATATTTGCCAAAATAGCTTAATCAAAATTTATATATCTCTTAAACCATCTAGTGGCTAAATTTGACCGCTAAAATCTTTTTTTTTTGATTTTGTGCAATTGTGCTTAATTTTTCTAGGCAATTGTACCTCCCTTTCCTAAGCTTGAATTAAAGTTTGCTATTTTGCAGATCAATTCGTGATTTCATATCACGTTATAGTAGTACATGATATCATAATTACGTGTTAGTAGTACAGCGATTATCTTTTGATTACTATCAATTAAAATCAAAAAAAGAAAAAAAAAATTAAAAAAAAATTTACAACTATGCCAAAGGCGAGTTCATCCTCGCATTTACCCCACCTGAAAAAGATACTGAGGTATTTTCTAACAGTGAGGACAAAGAGTACATACTGGTTCTGACGTCCCGACAACATTTTTCAAACCACCTGGGGTCAGACGATGAAGAAGATGATGAAGTTGTTGAAAGCGGTAGTAAGAAGGGCCGCAAACAATCAAAAAATATACCTAACTTGCCACCACCACCTTCAGATTTTGAACCATTGGTTCATTCAAAAAATTTACACCAGGCATTTATTAATTTGCCACCAAATTATGAAGTTGGTTTCTCAAAACCGATCAATCTTTTTTTTCTTTTTTTTACGAACATTTTACTAGACAAAATTGTTATCAATACGAATTTATATGCATTAATCAAAGGCGCTGGCCTTGCTAGAAGATAGTGGAAAAACGTAGATCGTAAGGAGCTTCTTATCTGGATTGCCCTTGTCATTTACCAGAGGGTTTTTGGGCTGTCTTCGCTTGATAATTACTGGAATGAGGACCCGAAGCTCCCCATTAACAATATTTCTAAACAAATGCCGCTGAAATGTTTTGAACAAATCAAGAGGTACCTTCATATCTCTTCCCCTGCGGCAGATATTAATCATTACTTTGAAAAATTAGAGCCACTGCTTTTCCACATCCGAGACGTTTCTAAACAACTTTACACATCAGCCTCAAACGTCTCGGTTGACGAAATGATGATAAGGTTTTCCGGCAAAAGCGTTCACACCATTCGAATTAAGAACGAACCAACCCCAGAGGGGTTTAAAGTGTTGTCGCTTTGTGATTCTGGATATACATTCACTTTTTTGTCTATGTCGCGTGTCTCCTCAAGTGATGTAAAAAAAGTGAAAAGGCTTAACCAAACTAGTTGCATAGTCCATCATCTTGTCATGCAACTTCCATATCGTCGATTCCCATTTAATATTTACATGGATAACTACTTTTCTAATGTTCCTTTTTTCCAGAATCTTCGGCAAGTTAGCATTGGCACTTGCGGTGCTGTTCGAACAATAGTATCCGGGTTCTTTAAGGAACTGAAGATGGATAAGAAACTTCGACTTGACTGGGATGTATGTTCCGGTGTTGCAGTAAATGGAGTGTTGGCTGTGTTTTGGCAGGACAATGGTCCGGTCACAATGCTGTCAACAATTCATGATCTTGTTGGTGAACATTGGGAAGTTGAACATGAAAGACAGCGGCCAAGAGAAACAAGCACTAATGCAATAAAAGTGCATGCGGTGTTTGGGTCTCAACCAAAAAAAAAACCAAAAATTCCTAGGATAATAGACGATTACAACTATTAC